CTAGTTGGAACATTTTCATGGATATTTTCCATCGTCACGCCCAGTACAACACTTTCACCTGTTCAGGTCATCTTTGCTACAAACAAGTTTCACTTTTCCAGCCACAGCTCTATGGCTTGTCAAATACAGGCTTTTTTTGGTTTTGCACTAGTAAGAACATCTAGGCAGGCGTTTACGCTTGAATTTTAGTTGGTACATAGACAGCATGACAGAGAGCAGTCTCATTCACTCCTTTGTACCACTTACCGCACTGAATCAATGCCACCAATGATCACAGCTCTTTATTATCAAGGTGGAAGATCGGTTTTGCATGCGGACAGGTATATAGTGTCAGTTGTCCAACTGCATTTCTTTTCAAACCAATGATACAGCACGTGCCTTCTACACGTCATTGGACTTTGAGGGAACATTCAATCAACAAAGAAATAACCTGGCTAACTTTGGGCTTTTCCTTCACGGACTTTTCAACTGAAACCTATACCACTTCATCAAGTCTGTGCGTCCTTTTCCCCATCCACCTAGTTTCAGTCAACAAGCAACCCTTTTAGTTCCACCAGAACTAAGGGTAATAAGATGCCTGAAATATCTCTTACTCAACATAGTAACTCGATCGCTGAACGTCAAAAATAACAACTTGTCAAAGAAAACTTTCGTCTTCCAGGCCACATCTAGTTCTTGGCTGACACTTTCACTCACCAACCCTGTGCCTGGAATCAACGAGACTCGCCTTGCTTGGCTTAAGCAATAGCCAAACTTCTTCTGCATCAGCTTGACTTGTCAGATTCTGCCTTAATCCGCGCACCTGAAAAGAATTTACTTATCTATCTGTAGATTCGTTTAGAGTGACGCTACCTCGCAATAGCTTTTCTGTTTGTTCTATAAGAAATACGTGGTTTACCAAAGTCTAGATCAGCCAGTGTAGAGTCTTTTCGAATAATTGGCTTGATCTAAAATCCTGTCTTCATAGCTCTTGAGACTCAACTGGAGCACCAGTGTTTTCGCATTTCTTCGCTGGACAAAAAGGCATTTTACAGACGGCCAATAGCTTCCTGGTCTTGAAGGCCTACCGCTGACATCTTTAATTTCTTCGAGTTTATCTCGCTAAATTTTACCTCCAGACAAAAGTAAAATTATTTCATTCTCGGTACCTCGAATTTTGGCCTTATACAGCAAGCATGATTTCTCAATGTATGAGGTAAAACTGATACACCTGTTCCTTTTGGACCACTGCGAAGCGAAGGTTCTGGAATAGCATTTCTTTTTCGTCTTGATTTTTTTTCGCTGGTATATCAAACATCATCATTCACTGGCGAGCACTAATTAACTTCTACAATAGCTGTTTCTGGCATACGTTCTTCTTACTTACTAGCATCGGACATCTGCACTATGACATTTGGAAGCTGAGTTTGTTTTTCCAGGAACTTCTCCACAACAGTGCGCACCATATTTGATCAAATCCAATACCTACCCGAGCAACAGCGCCAGTTTAAAATAACCGACCCTTAAAAACTTCAGAATAGTCTGCTTATACTTCTCAAGTAAGACCCAGTTCTGTGGCAACACGAAGGAACAAAGTAGTTCAAACTTGGTTCTATCCATAGCGCCCATGAACCAAGACACCAATAACCCAGTTGCCAGGACCACAACTCGAAGCACATGATCTGCAATCGGATAAGCACGTTGAACAATTATGACTGCAATGGGTGATGACATTTACATCATTTTCTCAGCGGATTATGACAATAAACTAACTGCAGGTCTTGCTTACGTTTAACAAGTTTAAAACATTTTGAAATCTGTTCAATTTACTGACATTGGACACTTCCAACCATAAGTGCATCAGCATATGTCAACAGATTTTTCTCCGCCGGTGAAGTATACAATATAATTGAAAATGGTTACCATGATGGACCTCTACATTGCCATGACTTACTATGTTTAGGATATTACAGAATTGTTCATTTTCATGGAGTTACCAACATGCACAAGAAATCAACTTTTACACTCTAAAATGGATGCAGCCGTAAACGTTTTTTAAGCTTGTCAGCAAAAGCCAGTAGGTTCAAATGAAACCAACATTGTTGCTATAACATATGCAGATCAGAAACCTGCTTGTTCACTAGTTTAAGAATGCATAGAGTATAGTTTGAAATCAAACACTGATCAAGTAACACAGTCGTAATCGCCATCAACAGGAAGTTTACATTATTCGGAACTCCACGCGTTCTCCAATGGATTTTGAAAACAGCAATTTCTTAAATTCGCAGTAATAATTTCTTGGTTTAGTCCCTTTTCACACTGTGGTTTTTAACAACTTCATCATCAAAACATATTCTAAACTTTAGTTATCTTTGATTAACTCCTTAGCCTTATGTGAGGCTCGAAAAAAAAAATACATTTAGACTTCAGTCTCATCAAAGATCCATAATCCAAAATGACTTGGGTCTTTGCTGAATCCTCCTCATTTATGCTTTATTAAATCTCAGCTGTGCGACTATCTGGCATAAATGAAGAATTTCTCTGGCAGAATCACACGTTTGTGTCTCTGCTACCAAAGCACACTTGCATAGATTTCCTGGTTTGAGGTAGTTGCAATGCCTCAGAATACCCAGGGGGCAAATGGATGTCCATATAGTTGATGGGATGACAAGGCACAAGAATTCCACATGCATTCCCGATCTCCTGGCATCATCATACTGCTTAGCTAAGGATTCGATGTCCTCTTCGCGGCCTGCTTCTTTTATTACTGACACAGCGCCTTGCCCCACCAACGCATCTAACAATGTGGTACCTTATAAAATAAACAAGTGATCAGTATTGCTGGGCAATACAGTGCTCCCGTGGACCCGGCTCCACTTAGCGATCTAGCGAAAAGGGCAAGGGTTATAAGCCATAGGTCTATGCCAGAAGAACCCGACTTACGAAAGCGTCGGACCAGGTGTGTGAGTAGAGATGGATCAACGCACTCCATTGCTTTCTGGTTCCACTCACGGATCAGATTGACGTTGTATTTAGTGTTTATAGTGTGTCATGTGCAGAAATGTCAATGAGAGTAGTCCACACACAATAGACAGTATAATAATACTATGCTGTCTATTGTATGTGGACTACTTTCACTGAAACTATCAAAACGGAAAAATCAAGACGATTGATCAATGTGTGTCGAAAATTTCCCATTAAGTCCGATTCTTGTCTACAGATGGATGGACAGACAGATGCCAAGTTAATACAATAGCCTGCAGGGCTACCGCTACGTCCCAAGTGGGCTAAAATGTTTGTGAAAATTATATGTATTAACAATAAACTGCTGATATGAGCTGTCCTAATTGGGACCAGCACTTTCTGTCTGACTTGGGCAATAATTTGAAGTAGACAAGGGAATTCGATAAAGATGCGACTACAATTGGACAACAATTTCTGTCTGACTTAAAAGGATCCGACTTAGCAGGAGTCTACTGTAAGAATGTTTACCTTTCTGTTGGCACGTGACATTTAATCACGTGATCCAGCAACATATCATCGCTCACATACTCAAAAAGTCCACACCAGCACTTGCTAGCCTGTGCTCTCCTAACTGTGACTACTGGTCTCGTTGTTTTGTGATCATCGCCAAGCGGAATCCCAATTCTCTTTGGCTTTATGTTCTTCAGAACAGCATATCTGAAAAATAAAATACACTTAAACATTAGCAACTGACAAAAAAACGTCTGATATGTTAGACAACCCTTCCTATAGTATGTCCATACCAAATTTTTGATTAATAGTATTGTCGGTTAAGGACTATCTGATCAACCCAAATCTTGGTGAGCTGATGTGTCTGGCCTCTATGGCTAAAATGGTCGTCACGACATGCTGATTAATTCGACAATAGAGCTACAAAAATACCGGTAAAAATGCGAACAACACCGCGAAAATGCGCACTCGATGCAGTAGTAGGGTATATACTATATAGCGCCACCGCGCAGACATTTATGAAAATCATAAATAATTTTAATTGTAATTTGACATTTTTTTATTGTTTGTATTGTTTCGATTTTTTTGGGGGCCTAAAATGGTTGTCGCGACATGCTGATTAAGAATATATGTGACCCGCTCCAGCATAATATGGACTAAGTCGCAAGTCATTGTTTTGAGTAATGCGCACGCACACATGTCAATGCTGAAAATGGCCTACCTGGACAAAAATGAGATTTTTACAAAAATAAGTTCCTAAGTGCATATATAATCCGGATATATAGGTTCAGATATCTCTAGATTATTATGGTCATTTTTAATTTAAAAAAATAAAAAAATAAAAAAATAAAAAATATTTTTCAAGGGCCACTGACCGCTCATCCCCGACGGGGCCCCTTACCCGGAACGCTTTATCTCAAAAGCTGCATATTCCGGAATATTCTTCAAATTGCTGTAGATCGGTCAATTCTTTAGATATAGCCAAATATTATATATCATTTTAAAGGTAATTAAATGATCTATTCAGATATGCACATAACTCAATTTGTAGAATTTCCTACTTAATCCTGGATTTGCTGGAGCGGGTCACATATATGGTGTTGGGGGGGTTACCTCTTACGGGGGGGGGGAAGATAGAGCCCCAGACAGACAGAAAAACAGACTCGCCCTTTATGTAAGAGATGTAGATATCAGGGTTCGACACTAACCCACGTCCGACCGACCTAGTCGGGTAAATGCTTGGTCCGGTCGCATACAACCAGTGTTAGTAGCCCGACTGGTCGTGTTAGAATTGGTCATATAGTACTCGCACATATAGTTACATGACATCATTTCACACCTTTCTGCCTTATAAGTCACATTTGTAATTACAAAATGCACAATTTTCACAATGTCAGTTCAAGGCAAAACATCGAATCTTTATTACGGTGTTCGTGCTTAAAGGTACACTGCAATGTACTTTACAATGTACAATACACTTTAAAAGTACACTGTACAGTACACTGACAGTATATCTTGCACTGTCATTATCATAACACCAGAATTAAAATAATCAATACAAAAATTTACTTACATTCTGCAAACAAAATTATTTTAATGTACACTTCCACACTGTCCCAAAGGCCTATATTAAGATTATATAATACAAGTGCCGCGGAGCGACAGCGCTCATCTAACGTCTACTGCGGTGACTGTGGTGGAGTGGTGGGATTCTAGTAAACCCTGTTAGTCCCAAATGTGTTCACATACACGCCGAAACAGTGGAATGCACAGGGATGGTATCAGGAACCTTCTCAAGGAATGTTCGTTGGGATCGTTATGAAAGTTGCCACGAGATGGCGCGTACGTTTAAGTGTCTTCAGATTAAAGATGGAAGCTTCCATCGTACGTAGTAGCAACAACTATTTGCAAGACAGAATAGGTAAGCACTCATCCATTTACCTACGCAAGCCTACAGGCTGCAATATAGAGAGCTGCCACCTGTAACCAATTAACGCAGGCAAAAACTACACATGCAGTACCACCACCACATGCACTGGCAGTGGCCACTGGCAGTGGCATACGTTACATGTAACACACCGACAGTACAGAATGCCATAGAAATTATACGATTTAAGGAGCATAAACTTCTTCAACCAAATTTAGCTTTTGAAATTTCACTGTGACATTGTAGCCTCATACATCCAGGCATGTATATATTCTACTAGCAAACCCGGCAGTCAAATTCTTTCTAACAGACAGTAAACATATCCATGTTTAACCCTCCTCTTGAGGGTCAAACGGTTATCAGACACTTACTCTTCACATGTCAGCAGAAGGTACATTTCATGGTCCTTTCAATAAAGCTATAAAAATGCTAGGTCACCGCTGAAACAAAAAAGTTTTTCAATCGCTCCGTCAGACCATGTCCTCAGAAAATGTCTAAAATCTGCCCTGTGCCCCATTGACTTTGACCTGTGACCTCCAATTTCGGCACAGTGATGGCTTTTCCTACCATGATGCTATACACCGACTATCACGAACCTAGGTCGAGCCGTTTAGATTTGTGCCGCAATTTTGCATTTCCTCCCCAGGGTTCTCCCTACGTTGCGCAAACGGGGCGCGCGCGCCCCGTTTGGGAAAACTCCCCCCTGTTTGAATCGTTGCGCCCCGTTTAAATTACCTCCGCCCCGTTTAAATTCCACCACAATAAAAGTTTGCCAGCGCGGGAATCGGTCGTCAAGAATTGCCGTTCGACCAGAACATCCCACGCGTGTATTTTTACCGTACCACGCATGCACTGCAGACAGCACACAAGTTAACCTGACAATGCACAGTTAACCTGTCACTAACTGTACACTGACTCGGCTATCTTATATATACAAGAACCCCAAATACCGTCTATGGTGTGGTGGCGATTTTACGCATTAATTAGTCGTACGGTAAAAATACACGCCCCCGGACCCCCCTAGCGACACCACCTTTTATGGTATGTATATAATTTCGATATATACATGTCAGATGAGCTAAAAATATAAATATTGATATATTTCTTACTTGTTCTGTGTTGTGAAGTCTACCTTCATCGTTTGAGGATCCACAGTCTTAGATTTCCTGGAGTTCCTCACAATGGGATGCACCATTTTCCTTCTTGAATTCGGATTTGCTCCACGGATTAGAAGTTGGGTCTGCCTTTGAGGTTTCTTCCACTTCCAGACCAAAGTATATGGACTTGTTTCTCGTTCTATAAAGAAAATTTACAATAAATGTATCGTTAATACGTTCGAAATGCGGAAGAAAAATCTACAAACTAATAACATTACACTCTGGTCCCTTTATTATACTGTCCTTTATAACACGGTTTTCCATGATAACACTGTTCATTCTATTGCTCCCAAATTATATATTTCCTATGTAAATGTGTTACAATGGCCTATAAAACACGGATTCATTATTTGGCCCCAACATCAATGTTACGTAATAAAGGGACTCTACTGTACTACAGGTAATGATGACTGTAACCCTGAGAAGTTCTGTTAAGAAGTTCCTTTGGAGGCATCGAATTTGGCAATTTACCTCTGACAGCAAGTAAGGCTGCTACTTGCTGTCAGAGGCTGTACCCTCTCACAGCATGTAGCAACACTCTGACAGCAAGTCTAGAAAACTGAACGCGTTGATTATAAGTTATACGGCTAAAAGATAATGATATTGATTAACATATATACAATTATTTCTTTATTATGGTATCAAATATGAATAAAACCAAGATGGTACGATTAATATTTAAGTTTTTGTCAATTTAAAATATTTACACAGGGTTCTTGTTAACTTTTGACAAAGCAGGTAATTTGACAATGAATAGCAGGTAACTGTTTTTCCGGCACGGACGGTAGGGCGAGCGGCGAAGGCGCGAAGCCTTGCTAGGGGGATCCGAGGGCATGCACCCCCGGAAAAAAATTCTGATTTGACCCACAAATAGCCTATTTTGATGGGTATGGGTTCTAGAATTTGGTAGTTTAGATAGGAAATATAGTCTTGGGTTGGAAGTATTTAAAATAAACTTCGTTTTTTCAAATATGGATTAAATATTTTACTGCCTTTAGTGGGAGTTTCTTTCAAATTGATAGCCGGTAACAAATTGCGCGATAGGCGGTAAAAATAACCGGTTACCGGCTATTAACAAGAACCCTGTTTACATGTACGGGGGTAATAAAATACAAAAAGTCCAGACACAGAGCAGCAGTGAGACACATTGTTAGATTATTTAATCTAACAATTAAAGACTATCTGTCATAGAAATATTGATTTAAATTGCACAATAGTGTGGACTGACTCAGCAGCATACACAGGTTTCTGATTTAAATTCCACAGTGACTTAGTAATCGACAAACATTGAAAACATGAAGAATATATATACAAAATACTAGTAGTAAAATCACACTGAACCGTGGTGATTATTACTATTCCGTGGGATAGGGTGACTGTTTGTACTTGTGTGTATATTTTGTCAGGAGCTAATAATTTGTCATTATTAGCTCCTGATTTTGTGTATATAATTAAGTATCCGATGCTCGGACGAATATCCACGATATATATATATGTGGATACTAGTTCGGTGGCGCTATTCGTCCGAGCATTGTTGCGCATCACTACGAAAGGTTATACACCATAGATTAATTTTGGTACTCGTGTACATATAAGATAGCCGAGTCGGTTTAGAGCAAAGATCGTATAGTGCCGGAGGCACAAGATAAACCACTCATGCGAAATCACGTGCAATGACGTGTAGTACACAATGGAGTGCCACGTCCGCCATTTTAGGAAGCAAAACCCGCTCCGCGTCTGTTTGATACATAGAAATAATATGGATAACCATGGTTAATATATATATATATATTATAATATAATGGAATAGATAATATTTTTATGCCAATAGCTGTATCAAATCTCTCATTCAAGTGTACAAAAATCTAACAATAATTCATAATCGGATGTTACTATGTTAGTATGTACACAGTGCAGTGGTGTAGTGTCAGACAGTGGTACAGTACACAGGCACATCATTGGACCGTCTCAAACAAATAATGGTAAATAAACACTAAATGTATCTACTATCAAAGTATTAATGTTTCTCTACTCTATTTCGCCTATTATTGTCGATAACTTGCTGTAAATGCCGTTTAAAGCACACCGTACGTACGCCCTGTGCACAAACAACAAGAATAAGAGAGCCACTGCACTGCCACTGGTACTACATGTTTCAACGAAGATTGCACAACTCTTTCACGATGGATTTCGACAAAAAAGAATGTTTTCTCACCTTTCCGTATTCTTGGGGAACCTGAAGAAAGACAGGTTGGGCTTACACTGATGATTCGAGCAATTTACAGCAGAACAGTAAGCTGAGCTGACAGCACACAGCACAGTAGCAGATACAGCAACATCCGGGAACTTCGTGTGAACTTGCTTCCTAAAATGGCGGTTGTGGCGACCCATGACCTACTACGCTATGATTGGAGAGTGGTTTATCTTGTGCCTCCGGCACTCTACAATCTTTGGTTTAGAGTATAATCCGATGCTCGGACGAATATCCACGTCAGGTACTCGGTGCTACGACGGCATTTACTTGCCGCCGATACAGACTACCTCTGACGGCAAATGCCATCCCTGCTTTGGAGTCAATATCCATAGAGACATGCATAATGTATTGCTTTAATACCTGATGAACATGACGGTTTCTTGGAGCACATCGTTGAATAGAGTGGCCTGTCACTGGCAAGGTCCTTCCTCTTCTCAGTGCTCGTAGGTAGGCCTAAGGCTGGAAAGGCCTCATCATAATCATACTCAGCCTTCGTTACCACTTCATGAACAGCTCTCGGGTGTTTGACATTTTTCCTACAAAGAGAAAAGACTGATTTCAAAATTGAATCGGAGTGGGAGTAAGATGTCATGTTTCCCCCACATGTATATGTATATATATGTCCCAAGACATATACCACTGTAATCATTCTGGGGGCGGTTTCACGAAGCGTGAGTCCTAATCATGATTAACTTCCCGTACTTAAATTGAAGTGACTGTTTCGCAAAGCGTAATTAACTTTAATCATGATTAAGTTAATCACAATATTTAATTCTACTCGGGAGCATGATTAAATCCACTAATCGTAATTATAGTTGCTAGTACTAGTACTAATTAAAATAGTATAGTAAGTAGTGATGTCGATAATCGATTATACTCGATCATCGGCTGAACAGTGGCTCAAACCAAGCGCTTGGTTATCAAAATCCATAATCAATTTCATCAAAAAAACAAAAACAAAATCAAAATAAATGTAAAACTTGAAAAAGAAACTGATGATTATGGCAGTTTGAAACAGAATGGCCCTGAAGATGACTGATCTGCCGCTGTGATCAAATGCATGTAATATGTAATGACCTTGGATGAAAATACTCACCAGTTTTCGCCTCCTTGCCGTGCGTTCTAATGCCATCAAAAAAGATTTTGCAGTTTACTGCAATCCTATTTGTGGACGGTGTGGAGGCCATCACGACGCATAAGTCTTCCAGATTCTCCTCGAAAATCTCGATGCATGGAAATGAAATGCAGTGCAATGGCAAAAGTTCTGTAAAATCACATCAACTTCA